GAGGCAAAAACAATGCTTTTCCTTTGGTGTTGGACAGATTTGGGCGTTCTAACTTTTCCGGTTCCCCGACGCCCCTAAACGGCTCAAGAGGTCTCCAAGATCGCCCCAAGAGGGCCCAAGAGGCCCCCAAGAGGGCCCCAAGACGGCCCAAGACGGCTCCAAGACGGCCCCAGAGGCCTCCAGGACGGCCCAAGAGGGCCCCAAGAACGCCCCCGACACTACACAGCTCCCGACGCCGCAGCTCCACACTGCAAACGACCACTCGGACAGGCGACCACGGTGCGACATTATGGGCCGGCGGAATAAGCGAAGCGATTAAATAAGTTGCAAGAGTTTCACGTGTTGAGGTCGGGTCGTTTTCAAAATGTGGCTCTCGCCTTAGCGCGGCGCACGTTCCTTTCAAACATTTGCAAGAGTCTCACGGATTGAGGGTGGCTCCTTTTCAAAATGTGGCTTTCGGCTTAGCGCCGCGCACATTCGTGGACACAATTCTGAAGAGTTTCACGGATTCCCATCATCAACGTACCAGGAATTGCGTCCTGGAAAGATTCAGGATTATGCGGGTGCAGAAGTTAGGTTGGTTCTCTGTGTTGAAGTCCTAGGAATGGCGTTCTGGCACGATTGAGAATCGTCAAGACGCAGCAGTCAGGTTGATCCATGGCGTTGGAATCCCGAGAGCAATGTTTTGGCATGCTTCAAGGTCTTCAAGCGGGTGCCTTCCAACGAGGCAGTTCCATCAATGGAAATGAATCGTCGTAGGGGCCTATGAAGAGGGAGCTTGGAGGGAGGGTTTACTCCAACATCGCCGATGGCTCTTGGGTTTATCCCCTTACCTAGGCTCTGCCTAGAAGCGTTCTTACTCTCTATCTTAAAGGGGCCGGGCAGTGGAACCCGCCCTGGGCGGTTCCCCCGGTCCCCGCCCCGCGGTTCCCCCAGTTGCGCCCCCTTACCTTAGCTTTGCGTATCTCATCTTAGCTTAGCTTAGCTTAGCTTCATCTTAGCTTCGCGTAGCTGTAGCTTAGCTGAGCTCAGCTTAGCTGAGCATATCATAGCATAGCCCAGCATAGCATAGCACAGCGCAGCATAGCATATCATAGCATAGCATAGCATAGCGCAGCATAGCACAGCATACATAGCATAGCGCAGCATAGCACAGCATACCATAGCCTAGCATAACATAACGCAGCCTAGCGTAGCATAGCATAGCGCAGCATAGCATAGCATAGCATAGCATAGCATAACATAGTGCATCATGTCATAGCATAAGATAGCATAGCATAGCAACGAAGCAAAGACAAAACAACAGCAGCAACAGCAAAGCAAAGCACAAGCAACGCAAAGCAAAGCAAAGCAACAGCAAATCAAAGGAAAGGCAAAGCAACAACAATGTGCAACAGTACGATCAGAGAGCCCACCCGGTGAGCGAATGCAAACACATGCGTGTGTGTGTGTGCGAAGGCAAAGCAAAAGCAACACCAGGCAAAAGCAACAACAAGCAAAAGCAAAAGCAACTACGACGATGAGGAGAAGGAGGAGGACGGCGTTTACCGTTACTACTAATGCTGCTTTCCTAGGGGCTCCAACTCCTAGGTAGGGTCGCACTGGGATAATACTGGTCCTCCTCCTCCTCCTCCTCCTCCTCCTCCTCCTCCTCCTCCCCCTTCCCATGCGCAGGGGGGGAGGGAGAGGAGGAGGAGGAGGAGGAGGAGGAGGAGGAGGAGGAGGAGGAGGAGGAGGAGGAGGAGGGATGTGTGGGCGACGAAGAGTGTTCAGACATACAGCTGTGACGACGGCGGCGACAAGACGGACGTCGCCCAGCATCGGCGGATGAAGCCGTCCGAGACCGACGACGGCGGCGACGGCGGCGGCGACCGCAGAGGGCCTCCTGCGCCTGCGTGCGAGGGCGGCCATGCCGGCCGCGCGAGAGGCTCCGCGGGCTGCGGCGCGGAGGCGGACCGCGGGGCCGCGCGTCGGCCGCCGGCCCCCGCGGGGGGGGGGCTGCTCGAGAGCCGCCGGGGCGGGCGCTCCTCGCCGGCGCCGTCGCCGCTGCCGTCACCGCTGTCGTGGTCGGCCGATCCGTCTTTCGGACATGCTCGCGCGGTGGGAAAACGCGACGGGAGGCTGTCAGGACGAACGAAGGGCGACAGCAGCCCCACCGGGGCGAGGAGATGCGAGGAGCAAGGGGGGGTCTCCCTGGTGGTGTGGTCGCCCCTCCTCGCCCGAGATAGCCCCAGCCCCCAGCTCGGGGAGGCCTCGTGGACCTCCTCGCTTGATGTGGCCCCCCTGTTGGTGTTGGTGTCGCTTCTCCTCCCTCCGAGCATCTGGCTGTGATCGGTCCCTGGAAGCGTTCGCTGGGCCCCGGGACCGTCAGAAGACGATTCGGGGGAAGGCAGCCCCAGAAAAAGGGTCGGGACTTCCGAGAAGCCCCTACATAACAAATCAAGACATCGCATGTCTGGGTCGTCGTTATCCGATGGTCTACCTGGTGGGTACACCTGCCAGGCAGGTCGGATCGGACTCGACCTCGCGACCCAGTAGGTGCATCGAGGGATTGCGCTGGGCGGCGGGGCCGAAACCAGCTGCACGCAGTAACATTCATAATTACCCCTCCTTCCCCAAGACACCCCTTTCGTCAATCCTCGTCCTCCTCCTGTGCCTCTCCCTCTCTCTCCCCAGCGCTCGCAGCGCTCCCTTTCACGCCGCCCGCCCTGGCGCAGATCCACGTCCGCGAAGCGCGCAGACTCCTCCCTGTCGTCGTCGTCGTCGTCGTCGTCGTCGTCGTCGTCGTCGTCGTCGTCGCCGTCAGCGTCGTCGTCGTCGTCGTCGTAGTCTTTCGTTGTCGTCGTCGTATCGGACAGGGGGAGGGGGAGGATCGAGAATCAAGGTGCTCCAGGGCCCTGTAGGAGACCTCCCATGTCCTCCCGCAAGGCTCCTGAAATCTCTTCATTCCTCTAGGGACCTCTGCGGGGACCGCTGGGGCATCCAGAACCCTCCGCAGAGGAGGGGGGATAGAGTTAGCATAGTTACGCGAAACTATATCGGGACGAAGCAGGGCGGACGGCGAGTGAAGCCACGGGCCAGAAGGAGGCCTCGGCCACGCGCCACGCACGCACGCGCGGCCTGAGCTCGCACAGAACCGGCATCTGGGCCAGATGGAGCTGGCTCTGCCCGCGCTGGCTGTGACCTCGTCTTCTAGCCCCA